GGGGCTCCTGCCACCCGCCCGTGGGGACAGCAGCAGTGGCCACGTGGCTAAGCAGGGCTGCGGGGCGCGCGGCCACCGGCTCTTACGCCTTCCTCTCCTCGTCCATCCTGTTGATCTGCCCGCCGACAAACACCCGGATTTTGCACTTTCCCCAGCGCTTCTTGCGCCCCAGGAGGTAGGGGATGAGCAGCGTCAGACCTGTCCCCAAAACACCCGATGGGTGACGCGGCAGCGGGGACCCCGCGGGCTCGCCAGCGCTTTCTCAAAGCCGGCTGGCACCATGCGGCGAGGACCGAGCCCTCCTGGGCACCGCGATGGAGGTGCTGGATTCGTGTAAGCCGGACAGACAGACAGGGAGGAGCTGCAGCAGCCCAAGGTGAAGGTTACCTCCGTCGTCGAAGAGCCAGTAAATGTCGATGGTCTTCTTGCCCTGCTCGCTCTGGAAGATGGTGCTCGCCTGCTGCTCGCCAGCCAAGGCGGTGGGGTCCGCTGCCAGGGCAGGAGGGTCCTGGCGTCAGCGAGGGGCACCGCCAGCTGCAGGGAAAGGCTCCTGGCCCCAGCCCTGCTCCCCTTCACCGCTCGAAACCCGCGCCCCTGCCCGCAAATGCAGCTCCCCGAAAATACTCCTGGGAACCGGGGATGCTCCGGGCAGTGCCAAGCCAGGACCGACCTGTGCCCGGGACTGCTCTGCCGCCAGTGCCATTCTCCCCGGGCTGCTCCGCCACCTCGAACATGGGGTTCACTGGGGAGGGAGGAGAAGAGCACAGGCAGCAGGGCCGTGCCCCAGTGTCCCCATCCCCTTCTGTCCCAGCCCAGGAATGATGTCCCATCAGGGCCGTGACCTTCGCCTGGGGACACGGTGCTGGCTGGCACGTCCGACAGCTCCGGCACGTCTCTGAGCAGCCCTGGCTGCCCAAAACAGCTTGCCGTGAGCCTGCACCACTCGGGAGACGTTCAGCCCGTCCTTCATCCTCATCAAGCACACGCCATACTTGAAATCGAAGGCGTCGCTGGAAGGAGGGAGGAGAAAGCAGTTAACGGTGGCCGGCTCCTGTCGGGTGGCACTGCTGGCCCGGCCAGACCCTGCGCACGCGGCCGCAGCGTCCCCGCACCCAG